GGGAAGTCTCTGCTTTGGGAGACTTTAACAATCCCTTACACTTTTGCATAATTAAAAAATGCCCACCCCACTGTCAAGTATATTGGTTCAAGTCTGAATAGTCCAGAACTCACATTTTGGTTCCCAATATTCATCTCCAACGTAATGTTTTTTTCACATAATCATTTATTGCTGAAAAAGAAAGCTGCATCATCTGAAGTAGTTTTGTATTTAAATATCATTCAAGTAGGGAAAATCTCTTTGTGTGTCATACTGAATGAATGTCCATATATATGCATTTGAACATAAATATGTATTAACATTAAGATTAGTATGTTTATTACAATTAGTTGATCATAACACCAGATTATAGCTTCAGCAGGACTTGTAATTTAGAACTAACAGTCATTCAAGATCTAACAGCTATAAACAGAATTTAGGAAACCAAACTGAAGCTCCAAACAACATTTGGGACATTAGTACATCTATGTGGCAGCCAGAACAAACTTTCTCTATTATATATCTTGCTTTTATATTTTTTACTAGCTTAACATGACTTTTCAACTAGTAGCCTGAAATCAGATTCCAAAATACATTTAACAATAGACTTGTCTAATCTGTGACTATCCATAGTCCAGGAAACTTTAAACTTCCTTTCTGAAAAATCATGACCTTTCGCTTAATGTAATTAAAATAGTTCTTCCTTGTAATAATCTGTAAATCCAGTAAGCATTTTCTCAAATCCCAGATGGGTTTATGTCAGTAGAACAATATCATGCACATGTAAAAAGCTAAGAACATTGGTGGTGATTAATTCAGGAGGGTAGAAATTTTTGCACTGAGATACAAATAAAAATAATTGAATATATTCTAGTGGGATCCTAACTTCATGAGCAAATGCTACAAGATATTTAAATTAAGAATCAACCAAAACAAAAAAATAAGTATCCCCAAATAAGAAATGTTGGACCTAATTATGGGAATACCCAGCTTGGTTCACTCAACAACTAAGCCATTATTGGATTACTGTAATGCCCTTTACATGGGGCTGCCCCTGAAGAGCATCCAGAAGCTTTGGCTGGTGCAAAATGCAGCAGCTTGGGCAGTTATGTGTGCTTCTAGAACTGCCCATGTTACACCTCTGCTCCATGAGTTGCACTGGTTGCCAGTTTGCTTCTGGATCCAATTCAAGGTGTTGATATTGACCTTTAAAGCCCTTCATGGCATGGGGCCAGGTTATTTGAGGGACCATCTCTCCCAGATTACATCTTCCTATCCCATCAGATCTGGCAGAAGAGGCATGTTATAGAACCCTCCTGTTAAGGAACTACACATAGTGGGTCCTTCTCTGCTGTGGCTCCCATCTTATGAAACATTTTTCCTCCCCCCCGCAAAGTGAAGTTAGCTCCATCCCTATTTATTTTCTGGAAGTCCCTCAAGACCTGGCTACGTCATCAGGCTGCAGGTCTCAGGGGACTGGTGAGAGGTGGCTCCATTATGGTTGTTAACTTCTAATCTCTTGTATGTCTTATGGTTTTTAAAAACTTTTTAATAATGACTGTTTTTTTTTAATGTTTATTGTTTTACATTCTTGTTGTACACTGCCCAAGTCACTTTTTGTGAGATGGGAGGCCATATAAATTTGATATATAAATAAATTTGGTCTATTGTGTTAAGTAAACTAAACTATGGCTTAGTCATGAACTCATGGTTAAAGTAAGTAAGCATGGTTTAGTGTGTTGTGTGAGTTAAGTTTATGTATGATTCTAGGTGCATAAAATGTTAAAAACAGAAGTATTGGTTTCTTATTAAAGGGAAAGGGGGTTTTTTGATTAAAGAGAGAGATTTAGTAGAGAACATGACTAATTTTTTATTTCCAAATGTAAAGTAGATAGAGGGCAGGCAACCTTTTGCTGCTAGATACTCTGGTTCACCACCAAATGGATTATTTCCCAGTTCATTCTTGAACCTTATTTAATGGGATGGGATGGCTGTTGTTATTGAACCTCTAAAGCTTTTTGCAAATGTGGAAATCAACCACATTTGAAGGCATCCCATTGGAAAAGACAGTTGGAAATCATTCTCAGACCTCTTTATTATTATCTGTTAGATCCCAACTAAGAATGATGCTCTATCTCCAGTCTGTATATAAATTACCAGTCTTAAAAAGTAGGCAATATATAAAACTCTGCATGAATAAACAAACATGGTTTGCATTACATTGTGGATTCAGAATTATATTTGCCAATCTTAGGGCCAATTAGCATGTTTATTTAGAAAGCATAAAGTCGGAAGGACTTGCTTCATCTCTTTATGGAAAACTACCTGGGAGATACCCTCATTGGAAAAACTGTAATAGGAGGTTATACTCATCCATACATTTTCATGATGTGATGACCTTTCACAGTGGGTTTTTCCATGTAAAATTCTTTTGTACAAAAGTTTCTTCCATCAAAATGACATGTTAAAGAATGCATCAAAGCAAAAGCTTGGTGTTTTCTGTTAAGTAGTTATTCACAAACTAAGAATAATGTTTAGATACATTTTAAATTCTAATAATATTTTTGGTTTTCAGTATATAAAACATTAAATGGTTACTAAGAATGAGCAGACTAATTGTTATCCTCCTAAACAAAGCACTTTGTGAATATATTCAACTTAACCATTTTTCTCATTTTATTTTATTTTTTTATTATTTTGATTGTGATTTTCTCATATTGGAATTAGGAAAGTCTAACCTCCAGTCATTAAAAATCAAAATTCCATTGTCTTTGATATGGGTGAGAAATAAAAAATCTGTACCAGATCTGGCATTTGCTCTTAGTTTTGTCATATTCCTATTGATATAACTAATACATGGTTACCTGCATTTCCTAAAACCTTTTTGGTTTACTGGAGCCGCCCTGGACTGTACTGCCACAATTCAGCATTCAGATAGACTTAGCCAAACTAAAACTGGAAGAAGCTAGAATCCTGTGCAAAATAAATAATTTAAGGAGGAAAATACCAACAGTATTACTTTCAGGCCAGTGTTTCTTAACCTCGAGACCCTTAAGATGTGTGGACTTCAATTCCCAGAATTCCCCAGCCAGCCATGGCCAGGTTGAGAAGCACTGTTTTAGACTATCATGATACTATCACCTTGACTTCCCACCATCTTGTGGTCCTCAGCCACAACAGAGTGGAAAAAATACAGCCTCCAGCTGCCACAAGCTTGCCACTGACGCAGGTACAAAGATTCTCTCTTGAGGAAAGAAGCAACACAAAAAGAAATTCTCTGCAACAGACTCTTTCATTCAAAGAATGCAATGTTACAGATTCAGACAGAGTACCCAAAACTTATAAAATATCCTGGAAAGTGAAGAAATATCAAACTTTTTTTTTTTTTTTTTTTTTACAGAGTAGACTAGGGGCTACAGATTATTAGTTTCCCATCCAGTTGCAAGGGCACCATTGTAAAGGCCAACTGACCTCTGCAGGGACCTCTTCTGAAATGTCTTGATGACCCCTCCCTGATCAAAACAACCGGACAGAATGTTTGGGTTCCAAGGTTTTTCACTGGAATTAATATTTCTATCTCTATTCAGAGATGTTATTTCTAACATTTACCTGCAACTCCTTGAAACCAAGTTTATACATCTACCTTGGGAGACTTTTTTTTTTTTTTTGCAAGAGAGAAAACAACAAGATTATCCTTTACAATGTTTTGTATGTTGCAGGCACTTCAGACAAAGTATCTGGTCATAAAGATGTTGGCTTCAAATCTTCACTTTCACCACTCCATCTTCCTATTCCTATATTCTTAGAAAAAATTGTGGCCATCAGAAACCAATGGAACTAGATGTCTGTACTAAGCATTTGCATTATATATGTATCAAGAAACAGGAAGCAGCACCTGTCATTTTGCTTTGGTCTGATTTGGAACCCAACTGTATTGCAAACAAGTACATGTGCAAACAAGTAATGGCTCCTGGGTTCAAACACAGGGCCTGACTGAAAGTTGGACAATTTGGCACAGATTGCATACATGTATCTACTGAGTGCACATTCACTATATGCCAACACAGTTTTATGAATTAGCTTGAGGATGGATGGATGGATGGATGGATGGACGGACAACAACAAACCAAAGAAAACCATGAACAATTCCAAATAAAAACCAGACAATCCTTCATAGACAACCAGGGCTCACATTCATACCCCTTTCAGATGTGAACTCTACTCATCATGGTCCCAATCCCTGAGGAAATAGCCAGGTTTTTCTGAAGGTCAACTACATACTGGGGGGTGGGGAAAAGTGGTCCCAGGGCAGGTGCACCATAGTTTGGGAGCTGCTAAATACAATCTTGGGATAGAGGCTCAGATCTCTCCTTGCCATCTTCTTGGCAGCATTACCAGTGTTCCTTTCCCTTTATACCCTTGGGCCACACCTAATTGATTAGGGTCATAGGAATGGCATGCTGAAAGGAAGAAGCCAATAATAATACTCAGCCCAGCAAAGATACTGCCCTGCCTCTTTGCAGGTATAAGCTTCAGGCCCACTTTGGAGATCTATACTTAGCCCAGGGCCCACAAGGATCCCTCCCTGTTTTGGCTTGAAATCAATCTTACCCTTTTTCCTCTCATGCCTCCTAACCCTTACGCACAGAGACAAGCAAGTCAACTTTGTCATTCTTTCTCTCCCCACCCACCGGTTTTTTAATAGCTCTTCGATTTATAACTTGGGGCGGAGGGGGGGACGGAGGATGTGCCCTTTCTGCTCCTCCTTTCGGCCTGGCCGATAACAGTCTCAGGCCGGCACCCAGAGCTCGCTTTCTGCTCGGCTCCCGGAGGGTGATGCGTCGCGACAGCTAAAAGCTGGATAGAGTTTCAGGGGCTACTATATATAAAGCAGCCGAGGGCTCTTATGTCACCGCGCTAATTAAATTCCGTTGGGCCGCTTTTCTCGCGCGCGCTCTCCGGGGCTGCTTTTGGGAGCCCCGCACCCACCTCCGGGAGGCACAGAGGCGACGCTCGAGCCCATGATGATGGACCTTTTCGAATCCGGCTCCTACTTTTTCTACCTGGACGGCGAGAATGGAGCCCTGCAGACGCTGGACATGGCCGAGGGGTCGCCGCTCTACCCAGGCAGCGACAGCACCCTGTCGCCTTCTTCGTGCCAGGACCAGCTAGCCCCGGAGCCCTGCGGCGGCGGCGGCGATAGCAGCGGGGAGGAGCAGCACGTGCTGGCGCCGCCGGGCCTCCAGCCGCTACACTGCCCGGGCCAGTGCCTCATATGGGCCTGCAAGACGTGCAAGAAGAAAGCGGCGCCCACCGACCGGCGCAAGGCGGCCACGCTGCGCGAGAGGAGGCGCCTCAAGAAGATCAACGAGGCTTTCGAGGCCCTCAAGAGGCGGACGGTGGCCAACCCCAACCAGAGGCTGCCCAAGGTGGAAATCCTGCGCAGCGCCATCAGCTACATCGAGAGGCTTCAGGAGCTGCTCCAGCGCCTCGACCAGCAGGACAAAGGCCAGGAGCTGCTCCTGCCCGCTGGCAGCGGAACCGCGGGGGGCAACAGCGCTTTCAGCTTCAGCAGCCCGAAGCGCGGAAACGTAAGCGCGGCCTCTGCCACTGCCACGCGCCACTGCCCTGGTCCTTCTCTTAACTTGGCCAGCCGGGGGAAGTGGGCTGGGCGCGGCGGTGGGGCGGGGCGGGGTGTTTGGAAGCGACTGGCGATCGCGGCCTTACCCTCTCCTCCAGCTTCTATCTCTCGCTTTCTTCTTCTTCTTCTTCTTCAGATGGCCACCCCCGACTACTTGAGCACCTGCAGCGCCACCTGGCCGAGCGGCCCTGAGCATTCCCGGACGCTGCCGATCAGCGCCAAGGAAGGTAAAGCGCGCTTCACGCTGGGCTAGAGGATTGTATGCGCGCACTTCTGCGGATCTGAAGTGGCCGGGGAACCGGGCCCCCGGCCAGACACCTGTCCTTCGCAGGTTTGGCCCGGATTGGCTCTCAGGACAGCCCAAATCCTAACAAATCCTAGGAAGTTCACAATTAATACAGTGGAGCAATGGTTAGAATGACGGGAGCACCTCCGCCAACGGGATCTGCCGCGTCTGACGGGTGCCGTGAGTGAGTAGGGAGCAAGTGCTGATTTCAGTAGGACGACTTCCTAGTCTAAAGCTGGAGCCGAGGTTAACATCCTGAATACATTTACTCACGCGAGCGCTGCATTTATTTTCCACGTAGCTCAGGTTAAACTGAAGCGTTTTACAGCTGGATCTGCAATTTTAGGAATCAAGGCAAACCGGCGTAATGTTAAAAGCTCGCTTCAAAGTTTAGAACACTAAAGTAAATGCCTGTAGGATCCTGGCAGCTTCCGAGATAGCTGAGTTCCATTTACCCGAAAGTAGGACCCAATGATGGTGGCGCTTTACAGTCGAATCGGGCCCACGATTCGGAAATAAGAGACCCCACTGAACGCAGTGGGAAGCGTTGGTTTCGAAGCATATATTTGGCAGTTTATTTAGCCCTAAATCTGATTGGATTAAAATAACCAAGGCGCTCCAGACCATTTATTAGGGCACAAGTTTTCGTAGACTACCGGGGCTTTGTGATCCAATGCAGGGAGTTGCATGCAAGGCTATGTGTGTCATGCCCGTTGTGCGCTTACATTCTTCCTTGGAAGATAGTAAAAAAGTTCAGAATTATTAAGGTAAAAATAGTCTGGAATCGAACTTGACTCCTGATGATTTCATACGCGCCTTGAGAACTAAGTGAGGTCGAAAGGAGAAGCAGCGATCATTTCTTTTTTGACAATGGCCATTCAAGCAACGGGTATCACACCCGACCGACAGCTGGGGGTGCATTTGAGGGTGAGATTTTATGTGCCGTCATAAATGCGTTAGTCTGGACGGCGCTAGCCAGCAGTTTGCTGTTGTAGCCAAAAAGGAGGGTGATTAGGAAACTATCGGGAGAGGGATAGCGCTGGGGTTACGCGTTTCTGTGACAGTTGGCTTCCTTGCTGTTTACTCTTGCTCGGTCCTGGATCATAGGTTACTCCCCAGCTTCTCTCTTCTCTCCAAAACAGGAGGGACTCCCGCGGATTCTTCAGCTTCAAGCAGCCTGCGCTGCCTTTCCTCTATCGTGAACAGTATCTCTTCCGAAGATCGCAAAGTACCCAACAGGGAAGATGTGGTGGAAAAGTAGTGATCCGGTCGTATTTTTGGAAACGGGCAATGCAAGGAGCTGCTTGAGTTCGCACTTGAAACGAAATCTTGAATTAATTTAATCTTCTCGAAGTTCTAAATGGGATGAGGAGGGCAGTGCAGCTGAATAAATAAAGGTGCACCTTCTTCAGAGGAAGTTTTACCCATCCGATAAAGGGTACAGTCCCTGCTTTATTCTGTCCTCTCCGATTTCAATTCTATTTTTTATTTATCTCCTACTTGTTTTATAATTAATATATTACTTTATGTTTGGAGAACATCTTTGTTGAAACGCTCATTCCTATTTGAAGGAAGCTTATGATCCTGAGATCTTGGTTGTGTGGATGTGGGTGTGTACATATGCGTGTGCGTGTGTGTATATATAATTTTAGTACTTCCCCCTTTTTTTAACAGAATATCTATTTAAAATGTGGGATGTGATCTTGTATATAAGAAAATCTAGATAACATTCCCAAGGTTGTAAAATAAATCTCTTTGTGTACAAAACTGCTGTCAAGAATATTTTCACCTTTCTGTGGGATTCAATTAAAGACTGGAAGAAAAAGAATGAATAAAAATTTGCAAATTCCTCTTTCTCTCCCTTCCACCAATATCGGCCTCCATCGCCGCCCCCCCCCCGCAAATGTTTCTATTACTAATAAATGAATACAATAAAAGGAGCCAGAATTCTCAGGGGTTCAGTCACGGGCAGTGAGGGGCGTTTCTTCTTTCTTCCTGACCTCAAAGGAGCTCAGCCATGGGAAGTTTCCAAGGAAGCCCTGAGATAAACTGGGTGTCCAGGGACCTCAGAATCTATCTGTGGCAGGGATTTCTAGGGTGCTGCGAACACCTTTTTTCTGGCCTCAATACATTGGCTGTTAATCCAAAAGCCGACAGACCAGTAAAGACTTATGCAGGTTTGCAGGCACTCGGGCAAAGCAGGGGATGGCCAGGAGCACCCTCGCCGCTCCCATTTTTTACTCTTCTCTTGGTGGGTATCTGGCTAGTGTTGGATCAACTGGGGAAAAAAAATGGTTCGTGAAACGAGAGCGGGTGGGTACTAGGAGTTAAACAGCTGGTTTGACTGCCTAGAAGTTGGGAACCCTCTGCCAATCCAGCGCCTTCCTTTGAATGTGACTCCCTGGTGCCTGGTCCCTCAGCACTGCCCTCTGCTTCCCCCCCATGCGTGCTTTGTTAGAGACCTCACCTCATGCGTCGGCCTGAATCGCTTCCAGCAAAACGAAAATATGAATGGCTGGATAAGAGTAACGTCCTATCACGCTTTGCTGTAGAGTTCCCAAAGACCCTTAAAGTTATTTTTACTAGGATCGCGTATGAGCGTATATGTGCCAAGGTTAAATCACGGCTTTCACTGTCCACCAGTACCTAACGTTGCCAAAACGTCTGGGTGCGTGCTGCCGCCCCCCCACACACACTTTTTTCTTTTTTTTTAAGGTAGCAAGATTTTGGGATCAGTCTTCCCGTCAGCAGCATTTTTGGGTGTGGATTCCGGAGTGTGACAAAAGTTTGCCAAGTCCCCAGTGATGGGCCCCCGCAGCACACAGAGGTTAAGGCGGGAGAGAGACCCGGACAAACAAGACTCCCCCTCCCAATTAAAGCTCGCAGAAAAGCAAGCTACTTGTGAGGCTGCCCAAGGTCGCGCTCCAAGTTGTCCCAGTTTGTTTACCAAGGCAGGGAGGGGAGGCCACCAAGGAGCGCTGGCACGGCCGGTGCCTTTCCCTCCCCGGGCGCCCCGCCGAGCTGAGCAAGAAGGGGAAGTTCCATCCTGCAGCTACTGGAGACTCGGGCGCGGTTCTGATGATCTGAAGCAGCGTAGCTCGTCCGCAGGGCGCTCATGCCCCAAAGGTGACAGATCTCTCTTCTGCCTCAGGAGTGGCCACCCTGGGAGGATCCCTCACTTCGGAGAGAAAAAAAAGACGTTATTTTCTTCTCACGACTTCTTCAGAATTAGCCAGGTGGATCCCGGGGGTGGGGGGGAATCCAAAGTTGGGCAATATTTTTTTGAGGACTAACCGAATTTCCTCTAGAATAATTCACTTGCTACGAATCGACCGCTCTCAGGTCAGCCTCTCGGTGTCTTCTCAGTAGTTTCTCTTTGCGGAGATCGAGGGCTTACTTGGGCGTTATGGAGCCTGGAAGCAGCACGACTAAAGGGCACCTTGCTGGCCTACACACACACACAAACACACAAGTACGAGCAAATGACAATTGTCCAAGCCTGGATTATTGGTAATACGGGTTAAATCATAATTGTAAAAGGAATTATGAAATAGATCATAGGGCTGCAGTTATGCACTTCTTAGGTGGGAAGAAATTCCAGTGAACCCTTCTGACTTTACTTCCTAGGAAACGTGTCCGGAAGTCCATTATAGACTCCAGTGCAACGGTCCTGAAAGGTCTGCAAAAGTGTCTTCGTCTTTATCTAACATTCTTTCTATCGAGAGTCCACTGGGGCTCTGCATGTCTCCTCGGAAGAGAGTTACACGCGGTTCAAAACAAAGGTTTGCGATTTTGCGCGCCATTCTCACAGTTGAATAGGACTTCTCGGCAATGGTTATTTTGAAGGCAACGCAAAGAGCTCGGAAGGCACCTCTTCAGTTTATGCACACACAAACATTGAGGACATTTTCGGGGAAGCCCCGGCCCAAATCCTTTTGTAGCATATCTCTGGCTTGCTCTGCAGTCTCCTTAGCACACTTTACTCTGAAGTCCCTTTGAGTTCTGCGGTGTTTTGCCCAGTTAGTAAGCACTCTTACAATGCCACTGTAAATGCAAACATACAGAAAAACCTGGTTATTATCCATCAGCCTTGCTGTACCAACCCCAAATATACCTGTAAAAATTTGAACAATTTTGCAGTTGTGTGTTTGTGTAAACATACCTGGCTCATAGAGATGGGGATCAAATGTTTGTATTCTTATAACGATGTACTATTTGCTTAAGACCAGTTTTAGATGGTCGAGACTTTTTCTTAGATAATACACTAAGAAGAAATATATGTGTTCAGGAGAAGGCAGAACCATTCTCTATAAATATTTTTTTTTCTAGGTGAAGCTGACAGTGCCAGCTCTAGGTCTGAGTGCTTACTCAGAAGTTAGCGCTACTATATTGAATGGTGAGTGAGTTAGAAATATAAAGCAGGCCGCTCCCCGCCACCTCTTCCCTCTCTCCGTGGGTGATATTTTAGCCATACCAAACGGTGTTTGGTTCCCCTCCGCCCTCGTCTTCGCCAGCAAAGCAGGGTAACGTGAGAAATTGTTTGGAATAAGGGGGACTTCAAGGTTTCTCATTAAGGAGGAGAAACAATCTTTGTGCATTTCTCTGTCCCTCTCCTTGCCCCCGTGACTGCAGCCGAAGAACTCGGGGTGTGTTTGGAACCAAAGTGTTTGTGTTCGATATTAATAATGATAATCTTTACCTGAGTCTAAAGCCAAAGAAAACATAGTGGTGGAAGCACAACAGCGACAGGCGAGGGCTGGAGAGAGATAAATCTGCTTTCACTTGGGGTTTCACCTCCTTTCCTGCCCTCCCTCCAGGAAGAGGGTGGGGGTCTTGCAAAGGCTCCCCTCGGGGCTTTCTCTGGTGCGCTTTCCTTGAAGTGCCCCTGTATCTTCTTTTGGGTGGTGGGTACCATGGGGAACAGCTATTGTATAGCAGCCCCACCATCAGGCAGGGGAATGCTGGGCATTGTAGTTCAGCTTAGTGGGGGGGGAGCGAGGAAGGCAGATTCCTCATCCCTGCAAGACCCTGAAAGGCTGTCCTCTTGCAACCAGCTTCCACTTTAGGGGTGGGGAAGGGGAGGAAGTGTACTGACCCACTGCCTGTTGCTGAAGAAGCCAACAGCATTCCTCGGGCTTTCCAGTGCACTCAGCTGACTCCCAAGTTGTGTTTTATCAGCATGGGATGGGGAGGGGCTTGGCCTGAACATTTATATGGCACTTTATAAGGCAGTGAGGAATTTTTCCCGTTCATTACAGGCTCTTTTGCTCTTTTGACATCTGGCTTTGTCACTCAGGCCATTGCCTGGGTGACTAGGAGTCGTGTCTCTTGCTTCGTCATCTGGCAAAAGATTTGCAGCTCTGGCCACCAAATGCTTGTGCCAAGCAGAGGGCCCAGGTAGAGGGATGATTCACCTATGGTAGGAGACAATTCCTGGCCGGCCTTGTCTGGCACTGTAGAAATCCTTCAGGAATCGGGGCCAATGTTGAATCGAGCATGGTTCTGCCCACCTGTACCTCCTCTGCTATAATCTGACAATGTGCAGCATTTTTATCTGTAAGACAAATGGATTCACCTCTAAGCCCCGTTTTTTGACAGACACTAAGCTGGGGTGCACCTAGGCCTTCAGATCTTTTACCCAAATCTTTATCTCGTTTCCTTGCCCAAGGAAGAAGCTGTCTGTATGATTCTGGATCTGCTGCTTGTCTGAGTTTGATATCTAGCCACGACTATAGACAAAATATCAAACAAAATGTGTGGATGCACCGAATTGATTTATGGACAATAACATGAGAATGTTCCATTCGGTGAATATCTCCGCTGCACCAAATAATTCTGTAACCAGCTCAGAATCAGAATCACTAGTTGAAGTTTAGACTACTCTTGATCGAGCCACTAATAAAGAGGACTATGTCCTAGAACTCCTGCTCAGGACGTTGTCTGAGGATGTGGGATCTGCAGCCCGGAACCAGTGCCTGTCTAGGCAACACTCCAAGTCTGTACCAGTGGCTACGAAAGGAGCACCTGATCCAAACATCGATTTGTGAGTCATTCAGTCTGGAGATGATTGCAATTTCTTTATACTTCATATCCAGAACAAGAAAAAGTTCCTATAAAGAATAGGAACTCTAATCTTTTTTGCTACCCCAAAAGTTACAATATCCAAAAGCGAGTTCTATCAAGACAGGCTGATAAACATGCACTGATGGACCTGAATCTCAAAGCCTTCCATGGGACTCAAGATAGTCGACAGTTAATGTC